TGTCATTTGGGATTCTCTCAAAAGCCTTATTAAATACATTCCTGTCACATCTACCACTTCCTTCCATCCATTAGGCCAGTTAATCTGTTAAAGAAGAACATTAGATCGTCTAGCATGGGTTGTTCTTTGAAAATCCACATTAGCTATGGCATATCACTTCATCCTTCCCCTGCTGCTTTCACACTGTTCCATAATGTGTTCCAGTGTCTTCTGAGGTATTAATGTTGGGCTGATTGTTCCTGTCTTTGAATACGGGGAAACAAGAGGATGTGGCAAATTCTAGGCCACGGTTTGCCCTTCTCCAGTCCTCTGGAACCAAAACTGTCCTTCGTGAGGTCTCTGTAAAATCATGAATAGCTCTGAGCTTTGCTCAGCCAGTTCCTTCGGTTCTGTCGGGTGAATTTCACCAGGCACTATGGATTTGACCACATCTACCTTGTTTTGTGTCTTTGGCGTCTGCTTTTTCCTTTAGCTGCGGGACCATTAACGACACCAGACCTGGATCCCTCAGCACCATCTGCTGCAATGGCCGGCAGGGCCGCTACGTCACCACCACCATCCCGGGCAGGGCGGAGTATCTCTCCTTGTGTGAGGTCGAGGTTCTGTCTCAGAGCTGTGTCTCACAACCACGGGGTAAGGAGCTGGCACAATGTGACTGGAAACCTGTTCCCTTTCATGTTACGCCCCAGTCCCTTCTGCACCAGCCTCGGCCTAGGGAGGCAGCAGAAGCCCTGGCAGATGCTTCTCTTCGCACTGCTCACCTGGCCGTGGGCTGCAGCTGGCGGCGGCAGGCGGGAGTGGGGGATCCATGTGAAAATCGTGCCCCATCCCTGCTAGGGGAGCAGCTCCAGCTGGGTATGAGACATGGTGGCCTGAGAGAGGAACCAAGCCCCAAGAGACCCCAGCGCCAAGCGTTGTCACTCCCCTCCCCCGGGTCCCTGGCTCTCCTGGTGAACCTGGCTCTCAGGCCGCGCCTGGCTTGCGTGTCACCTCTGGGAAGCAGCTCTGGCTCCGTGTGGGCGACAGGGCTTCTAGAACCCCTGTCCAGTGGCACAGGACAGGTCCCACCTCCCCTCTTCTCTCCCTCGGAGTCCAGCTTTTAACTTGGCGCTGGGACGTCCGGCCACGCAGTCGTCCACGTTGGCGAACACGACTGGACAAGCCGTGGCTGGTAGGGCCGTGGATGGAAAACACGATGGGAAGCTGGAACAAGGCTCCTGCAGCCAAACTCAGCGCGACATGGAGCCCTGGTGGAATGTGGACTTGGTCAGCCGATATTCTGTCTCCATGGTGATCGTGAAGCACTTGGAAGACGAGTGCTGCGGGGAGAGACTGAAGGGGGCCGAGATCCACGTGGGAGACTCCCTGGTGAACCACGGCAAGAACAACCCCCTGTGAGTTGCTGCCCCGTTGTCTGCAACGAGATGAGTCCTCCCGGCGCGGGCGCAGGGGCTGGGTCTCATAGCCAGCCAGGGCTTCCTCTCCGAGCTGCCTGGGGCTGCGAGTGCTTTGCCGGTGGTGCTGAGGCCTCACCACAAGTGGGCCTGGGTGGGTGTGGCCCATCCGTTTGGCCTGCAGGCCCTCCCAAATCTTAGCGGGAGTGTAAACGGATTGGCACCATCTTTCTGAGTTGCTGGGGTGCATGGCTCCTGTTCTTCCCCGGGGTTCATCCCCCCTTTACCCCCACCCTTGCTGCCCTCTTTCTACTTGGCCCTGCTACTTCCTGCCCCATTTCACCCCGTTCTCCCCTCCGCTTCTTTCTGCCCTTACTCCCCCTCGTGGGCAGCAGGTGAACTGGCTGTAGGGGAGGCTACCCCCAGGCTCCGTTCCTTCTGCCTGAGATCCTGCCCCCCCTTTTGTGTCACTCCCCCACCAGCTCCCAAAGAAGCCCCACTGCCTCTGCCAGCTCCAGCACCCGCAATCCTGGAGCCCCTGGCAGCATCAGCCCCAGCCTGCCCACGTCCCATGTGGCCGCTTGTCTGGTGGCACCTGCCCCAGCCTAGGCCACAAAGAGCAGGAAGGGGTTGGGAACTCAGGCCCTGCCGGGGGTAACGCGTGGACAGAGCCACAGCAGGCTGTGTGGAGAGGCTGAGCCATAGATGAAAATATAGAACCGTATCTAACACAGGACAAATGCCCACAAGCCCCTCTCTCTGACCATAAACCACTGACAGCTACTCTGTGTACTGGGGAATTTTTCAAACAGTTCTGCACCTACCTGATCACAGAATCCCAGGGCGGCCAGAGCCCTCAGGAGGCATCAAGTCCAGCCCCCTGCCCAAAGCAGGACCAGCCCCAACTCCTTCATCCCAGCCAGGGCTTGGTCAAGTTGGGACTTAAACACCCCTAGGGATGGAGACTCCACCCCGCCCTAGGGAACCTCACCCACTAGCTCTCGGCCAGCCCAACAGTACTTGACACTCAACGAGAACTTTGATTCCCCGCAACATTCAAAATAGAGAAGCATGAGAAGTTTAGAATGAACTTTGACCTTTATTGGCTTGACATGCAAATGAATAATGTGAAAATCAAGATAAATATTGATCTTTTACCACGTTTTCATTAATTCTAATGCAGTTATCCTGCACAGGGCAAACCACCCAGTAGCTGCCACTTTAAACTTCTATGCGGTGTTTTTTATCAGCGCTGTAAACGGTTGCACTTCAAGGTGACTAATTTTGGGAAGCTCTGAAAATCTCTATTCCTTGCTACTGAATGAAGGCAGGAGCAGAAAAGCTGGATTAACTTGCCCTTCTCTGGTCCTCTAGAGCCACACCCATCCTTCATGAGGTCTCTATAAATGCAATAATAGTTCTCAGATTGGCTCGGCTATTTCCTTAAGTGCAGTGAGCTGAATTTCGCCAGGCACTCTGAGTTTGAATCCATCCATCTCGTTTGGTCTTCTTGGCTTCTGCTCTTTCCTTCAGCTGCGGGACCATCACGGAGACCAAGCCTGGCGCTCTCAGCACCATCTGCTGCAATGGCCTGGCAGGCCGCTACATCACCATCGTCATCCCGGGCAGGGCAGGGAATCTCACCCTGTGTGAGGTTGAGGTCATATCTCAGGGCTGCGCCCCACGATCAAGTGGTAAGGAGCTGGTACAATGTGACTGGAAACCCGTTTTATGTTACACCCCAGTCTCTTCTGCGCCAACCTCTGTCTAGTGAGGCAGCAGAAGCCCTGGGAGACTCAGTACCTTTTGCGGAAAAAATTGCCAGCTGTCAACACTGGCTGCTTGAATTTCCTCAAGAACACTGACTTCCTACTGTCTGAAATCAGTGCTTCTTGCGGAAATACTATGCTGCTCCCATTCGGGCAAAAGTCCTTTTGTGCAAAAGGGCCAGTGTAGACAGCTCAGATTTGTTTTGCGCAAAAAAACCCCGATCGCAAAAATGGCGATCGGGACTTTTTTGCAGAAAAGCATCTAGATTGGCACGGACGCTTTTGGGCAAAAGCGCTTTTTGCGGAAAAGCGTCCGTGCCAATCTAGACGCTCTTTTCCGCAAATGCTTTTAAGGGAAAACTTTTCCGTTAAAAGCATTTGCGGAAAATCATGCCAGTCTAGATGTCGCCCTTGAGTATTCTAGGGTGCATTTCATCTGGTTCTGGTGTCTTGAAACATCTAACTTTTCTAAGTGATTTTAACTTCATCTCTTCCTATTTGAACTTCTGAATCTACCTCCCTTTCTCCAGCATACGCTATTGTAGGCATCCAATCACTGCCAAGCTACTTGGTTAAAACTGACAGAAAAAAATCTTTAAGCACCTCTGCCATTTCCACACTTCCTGTTCTTGTTTTTCCCTCCTCAGTGAGCAATGGGCCTACCCTGTCCTTGGTCTGCCTCTTGCTTCTAGTATACTTGTAGAATGTTTTCTTGTTACCCTTTGGCTGTGTCTACATTGGCATCCCTTTCCGGAAAAGGGATGCTAATGAGACACATCGCTATTGCAAAACTTTCAAGTAGGAATAAGAGATCCTCCGGAAAAGGGCTTATTTTCCGGAGAATCCCGTCTAGACTGGCGCAAAAAAGCGGCAGCCATGTAAATGCAAATGCCACAGGGGATATTTAATTGCGGCTTTGCAATTGCGATGTGTCTCATTAGCATCCCTTTTCCGGAAAGGGATGCCAACGTAGACACAGCCTGCATGTCTCTGAGTAGATTAAGCTCGTTTTGTTCCTTCACCTTTCTAATTCTGCCCCTACATGCTTGTGTTACTTGTTTCTATTCATCCTTTGTACTTTGACCCCAGCAGGCCAGAGATGACACCCACTTTGGAGGAGCAATTCCACACTCTGATCTCACTGCTTGCAAGTCACCCAGGCAGGAATGGACACATGCAAGCACTTGAAGAATTAAAAACTCTTACCCACCTCTCGTTAGTGCTGCTCTTCGAGATGTGTCACACACGTCCATTCCAGAACCCCCACCAGCCCCGCTCCTAGGCTACGGCTACACTATGACTTTTGCCACAAGAAGCAATGCAAATGATCCACCTTGTCTTGCACTTCGTTTGCATGCTCTCTTGCATTCTGTTTTTGTGCAAGGGGTTTTTGCGCAAAAACAGGCAGAGTGGCCAGGGCTGTTTTGCACAAAACCCCCTTTTTCTGCAAGATCCTTATGCCTCTCCGGGACAGGCATAAGGATCTTGCAAAAAAAAAGGGGGGGTGTTGTTTTTGGAGGTACGGGGGCAGCTTTCGAGTCATGGGGGGGGCTCCGCGAGCTGCACCCGGGAGGGGAAGGGGTGAAGGAGGAATAGCCGCATGTGGCTCGTGAGCCTCGGGTTGGCGACGGCTGCCCTAGGGGAAAATTCCCAGTGTCTGGATCGGAGCACTTGCACACCTACGTTGCAATGGACGTGTGTAACGCATCTTGAAGAACAAGCATTGTGACAGGTAGCCCACGAGCTGCAGTGTCTCCGCTAGGTGGATGTCCAGTCTTAATCTAAAGCCTGCAAAGGAAAGAGAATCCACCGTGGCCCTCAGTGATCTGCTCCAGCAGTTAATGACCCGATAAAATGCACGTCTTATTCCTCGTCTGCATCGGGTGGTGACGGGAATAGGGACACGCCGTCTGGGTCCGTTATCACTCCGTGCTTTGCCCTCTGCAGGCTCAGAGTTAAAGGGCCGTCAGTCCTGCTGCCAACTCGCCTGGGCTCCCTAATCTCAGCCTCTCGCTCTTGTCTTCTGCTCTTTGCAGCTGCGGGACTATCACTGACATCGTTCTGGGGTCCTTAGCTGAACGGCCGTTACGTCAGCATCACCAGCCCCTGCAGGGTGGAGCACCTCACCCTGTGGCACCAGCTGGAGGTGAGCGCTTGGAAGCGGGAGTGACAGTCCATGAGTGGGGGAAGCACCTCTCCTTGCGCTGGGGGCAGGGGCAGTGGAATGAGCACATGTCCCCTAATAAACTTCTCTGGTCCCTTCTTGCATCTCTCCGGTCCATTGTCTCTGTCCCCCAGGTCTCCCCTCCCCTTCCTGCCCCCATGGGTAACACGGTTCTGATCCCACGGAGCCAGAGAGGCCGCGGCTCCAAACCCCAGATGGCTTTGAGTTAATCCAGCTCTTCTGCTTCCAGCCCTTCCCACGCCCACTGCCCCGGCCCCAGCCTGCTCCCCTGCCTGAGTACAACTCATCCCTGCATCCCCTGCCCCTCCCCCAAACCTGGGCAACTCTCCCATTCTCTGTTTCCCCTCAACGCAAGGATCCTTAGTGTGGAGCCATCCTGGCAGCCTTGCCTGGCTGTCCAGCCAACCCCCCCTGCTGAGAACCTGTCCATCAGCTGCCAGCTTGGTCCCCACCCCCCACTTCTCCCTGCTCCCTAGTTTCCCTGACTCAACGCCACCTGCTGCCCAGTTTCCCTTGTCCACTGGTTACCCCGTCCCTCAGTTTTCCTGTCCCCGGTTCCTCCTCTGTGATCCGGGTTGGATCTGGGTACCACTGAGGGCATCAGCTCAGGGCAACTTGCTCAAAACCAGGGCTACTTACAGCCCTTGACCGTGAGACCTTTCCCAAACAGGCCACACACTAGTCCCACCGAGCGCTCCAGCTGCAAACCCAGCCAGCAGGAAGCCTCACAAACAAAACCCCTCGGACACCTCAGCTCTCCCTGTGCCACAATCAGCCCCGGACCTTACACACAGGTGAGGGGTTATAGAACCCAATCTCACCAACTCCGAACAGTCCCACAGATCCAGCCACAGTCCCCGGCCAATTTACACTTTAGATCTTACCCACAAGAGCACCCTGGGCCAGTCCTTTAGAATCTACAATCTAAAGGTTTATTAATAAAAGAAAGGAAAGGTGGAGAGAAAGGTTGTTCAGGAGAACACATCACATACATCAGGCACCAAGTTCTGGATGCAGGCTCTTAGCGAGCTGTTACAAGCTGCTAGCTTAGACGTCTCTGGTGCACATCCTGTGTCAGGACGGGTCAGCAATCCTCCCCAGCTCTCTATCCCTCGCAAGGCTGCATGTGGAATCAGGAGCAAGCTTGACGATGAGATGGAGACGCCCTCCTGGGATTTTTATATTTCCGGTGTCTCCTAAATTGGAGCTGGTCACATGATCCCGTGACCTGTCTGTGTTCCACATGCCAGCAGCCAAGAGGCACTGGCCAGTCTGCAGGTTCCCAGATGCATCCCTCAGGTGAGTACTGGCCAATCTGAGAGCCATTGTCCTTGGAGCAGGGCTAGTTAGCACGGGCCAGACACTGAACAGTCCTTCCTCACAACAGGCCCATTGCTCCTCCCCGACAGAGCACATTCCCACTACAAGCACAGGGCCCATAGCCCTAGCTCCACACACAGACATCACACACCTATATGAGTAGCACACGTAGAATCAGTAGAGGATACGCTTTCATTTGACACCTCACATGGCCCCCTTTGTACTGAATTTGGGGCAAACATCACCTGTGGGTGCAACAGTGATCAGTCCTCTCACTTTAAAATCCAATAACATGACACCCCCCATCCAGTTCTGATTGGCCCCTGGTTCCCCCTGTTGCTTATTTCCCCCTGTCCTCCAGTTCTCCTGGTTCCCCAGTTGCCCTGTTCCCCCTGCTCCATGGCACACCCTACATCCTGGTTCCCTTGTCCCCAGTTCCCCTGTCGCCCAACTGCTTCCGGGTTTCCCCTGCTTCCCAGTTCCCCTTGTCCCCCAATTTTCCCTGTTGCCCTTTCCCCCATCCCCTAATTCCCCCTGCTGCCCAATTAGTCTTATCCCCCAATTCTCCCTGCCCCCCATTTCTCACCATCCCCTGGTTTCCCCTGCCATCCAGTTCCCGCCGACGCCCAGTTCCTCCCATCCCTGGTTCCATCTTCAAGCCAAGGCTGCTCTCTCCAACTCGCCCATCAGGTACCTGGGGTTAACCCATTCACATCCCTATTGGGAACAAACCCTTAAAGTGACACTGAACAAAGAACAAAACTGACACCAGAGGAGACGTTTCACTAGCTTGGGAACAGACAGCTTCTCGAATCCCAACTGGCCCTCATCTCTTCTCCATGTAAGCCCCACGGCCAGGAACTTCTGAGGAGAAAGAGCTCTCGTCCCTCACATAGCCACATTTGTATAGGGAACTTACCCACAATTCCTCTCCTGGCTCTTGGGAGGTCACCCTCAGTACCAAGGACTTGGATTTTGGAGGGCAGTGAGCTCCTTCGAGAGGCTTCTCAAGAGGAAAGTGGTTCTTTGTGTGACCCTTCTGCCAGGTAGCTCCAGCAGCAACTAGAGCCGGGTTCGATATCTAGGGGTTCTTCTCCATCCATCCATCACAGAACCGGCTGGAGCCCCCACCCAGTAACCTGGGAAATTCACAGAGCACCCCTGGGCATCTGTGGGAGGCAACGCTTCCCCACTCGCACGCACAGTCTGTGTGTGGAAAACAAAACTTTTAATAAAAAAGGAGAGAAGTAACGTGGCATTAACTTGGGGAAATGCCACAACCGGAATTCATAGGAAAACACCACGGAGTCCATAACCGAAACCACGAGTAAATATCTCAGCTCAAGTGGATTGGGCAATGGCCCTTCCCTCTGAGGCTCTCAAGTCCAGCAGAGTGAATGTCGCCTTCAAATGCCTGACCCTTCTCTACCCCCACCCACAGTTGCTGTCCTTGTCGGGGCAGACCAGAGTTCAGAGGTGAGCTGCAGAGTTCACCTCCTACCCTGACTGTGTGTGTGGAGGGGAAGTGGCTGCTTCTCATGCCCGTCCGTCAGTCGTCCCTCACTGCCACAGCTCTGCTGGCTGCTCCTCACACTCCACGCATCCTCTGCTGGCTCAGGGTGTATTTGACTTTGGGCCAAACCGAGCGATTTCATCTCTCAGTGATCTCAGCTCTTGGCCCAGAGCAGAGACCAACCGCAAGAGATACCAGCAGCCTCTGGAATACATTTACATACAGAAGAGACTCCTTATGGAGCCTTTCCTTAACTCTTTCATTACAACAGTGGGGAGAAACTGGTTGAACAAGTCTTACAGCTCATGCCTGGAGTACATGCAGCCTGTCACCCCAGCTTAATCCACAGGTCTCTGAAAGAACAGCCTCTGTCCATCCAAGTGTATTGGGTCTCTCCTTTTAACTGAGTTAAAAACAGTCTGACTTTTCTGCATTGTGCATTCTCATAATAACTGTAAGCACTCGTGGTCATATCTGCATTTACTGTAAACACAGTTTGCGACCCCCACAACAGCCAAATTGGTTACAATGGTCAAAATACCTTCTAACTGTTGAATATCAAGCAGGCATAAGCAACCTGAGTGAAGTGCATTTACATAACCACACCCAGGATTTCTTTCCCATTCCAGCATGAACTCTTGAATACATACCAACTCTAGGCAAACTGAGTGAACATAGCTACACCCTGGATTCCTTTCCCACTGCAGCTAGCTGTAATGGGAACATTGATTCAGACCCCCCTTACATTTATAACCAGTAAGGGTCGGCTTGAAGATCCTGTGCACTTTTGCTTTCCTCTTTTTGGAAGTTTTGTGAAGAGACAGCAAAGAGTGAGGTGTCTGTTGTGGTGACTGTTACAAGGGACGTTGTAAAAGAGCCCAGAGGACAGCCAGCCACTGCAGGGAACTGGGAGGATTCTGGTCAGGCTCTCATTACCCAGCCGGCATTTTGATAAAGCTGAAGCACAAAGCTGGAGAGGTGGTGGAGCCCTGGACAATCAGCTGCCTTGGGCCTGGAGACAGAGCCGCCAAGAGACATTTGGATCACTGCTACTTGCTGACTCCAACCATGAGCAGGGTCTGGTGCATGAGTGGGGCGGGGCGGCCAAGAGGGTAGGCCCATGGGAATGTTTAGTTGGTTGTCAAAAGGGACTCTACCTGGTATTGACCCATGTGTTGCTGTGTCAGCCACCTGGCAGAGGGGTAACAGACGACTGGAGTCGAACTTGTGTTCAAATGAGGCAGATTGTCCTTATTCCATCAGCCAGTTATAGGCAGCTGTGGAGCTCCCGGACTGAAGCGCTGTGGCTCGCACTCTCAGAACCCAAAAGTGTGCAGAAAGCTGGAAGCAGGGACATTGTCTCCTGGCTGGTGGAGCACCCCAGGTGATATAGCAATGCCAATAAGGGGATCCAACCTGCCCCTGTCGCCCCTGGAAATGCTGCTGATTGGTTACCTTGGCAGCATCAGGGAAAGCTTCAGCCTCTGGCTTAGCATCTGCAGAATGACACTTGATCGTGCTTTGGGAAGGTGGAAAGGCGGCTGGCGGTGTTTGCTCACTAGCTTGGTCTTCAGGAGGAAACATACCTGATGTGCCCTCTAGACTGTCTGTGAGGCAAAGGAGGGAAAGCTGCCGCCAGAGAGGGGGAGACTTGGCTGCTGACGCTGGACAGCCAGACACATGGGCTACTACCAGAGCCCGGTGGGGAGCTGTGCAGCTGAGGGAGGCTTGGAAAGAACACTTTAATGGTCAGGCTCAGTAGAGTTCTCTGCTGGAGTGTTCCCTACGCCTGGGCCGTTGAGAGCGGCTAAGAACTGTGCAGTGCTTGCTGAGCATGACTAAATACGCCCGGGTATTTCCCGGAAGCTGAGAATCCTGTGCTGCCGTGTGCGTATTTACACCTTGTCTTTGCTTTGGCTACCGCTGCACATTCTGCAATATATTTTGGGAGCTAATGAAGAGAATTTGATTCTCCATAAACAGAACTTTACTGGCAAAAACTTTCTCCCTCTTCAGTAATGTTCTTTAGATTTTTTACAGAAATTAATTAAGTGAACACTTAAAATGAGAAGGAAGCAAACGCTTAGGTCTTTTTGATTGTACTCTGTTGTTCCCGTACATAACCTGACCAGTGAGAGCCACGTTTTCTATCTGTGGCTGGTTTTCCTTGCTGTTCACTATGCATTTATGGGTATGTCTAGACTACATGCCTCTGCCAGCAGAGACATGTAAATTAAACTACCCGACATAGTCAATGAAGCGGGGATTTAAATATCCCCCGCTTCATTAAAATAAAAAAGGCCCCCACGCTGTGCCGGTTCAGCTAATCGTTGGCACCACGCGGCAGTCAAGACGTGGATTGGTTGGCAAGGAAAGCCTCTGCTGACCTATCCCTTACGCCTCGTGAAACAAGGTTTCAGGATTGGTCAGCAGAGGCTTTCCTTGCCAACCAATCCACGTCTTGACTGCCGCGTGGTGCCAACGATTAGCTGAACCGGCACAGCGTGGGGGCCTTTTTTATTTTAATGAAGCGGGGGATATTTAAATCCCCGTTTCACTGACTATGTCAGGTAGTCTAATTTACATGCCTCTGCCTGCAGAGGCATGTAGTCTAGACATACCCCTAGGCTGCGTCTAGACTGGAAAGATTTTGTACAAAAGCAGCTGCTTTTGAGCAAAATTTTTCCGCCTCTCTACACTGGCCGCAAGTATTTGCGCAAGAACACTGACTTTGTACTGTACAAAATCAGTGGTTCTTGCGCAAATACTCCGACGCTCCCACTCAGGGATAAGCCCTCTTGCACAAGTATTCTTGTACAAGAGGGCCAGTGTAGACAGGCAAGTTAATTTCTTGCTCAAGAAAGCCCGATGGCTAAAATGGCCATGGGAGCTTTCTTGTGCAAGAGAGCGTCTACACTGGCACGGATGCTCTTGCGCAAAATATGTCTTTTGCGCAAAAGCATCTGTGCCAGTGTAGACACTCTCTTGCGTTTCCGTTAAAAGTATTTGCACAAAATCTTGCCAGTCTAGACACAGCCCTCGTGTGTATTTCCCTCTCCTTGTCCTGCTGGGTCCTGAGCCTTTTCCTTCTCCTCTTTCTTTCTGTATAAAGTTGATCCTATTGGCTTTCCAAGCTGTTTGTTCTTGGCCTAATACAGCCCTGGCTCCCAGGATCCCAGAGAACCCCTCATCAGGGTCAGGCAAGGGGCACCCCCCAAGGCCACCATGCCAAAAGCTGCTGAGAAAAAGAGACAGAGATGCCACTGGAGAGGCCACAAACCAGTCCCACAGAGTGCTTCAGCTGTCTGCCTGAAGCCTCACGAGCAAAACCCCTCTGACACCCCAGCAATATCCGTGCCCCAGATGGCCCCGGGCCTCATACACACGTGGGGGGGTCCTAGCACCCAATCCCACCTACCCCGAACAAGTCCTGTCCGGTTCCAAGAAACCAGCCACAGATCCCTGATCAATTTACCCTCTGGACCTTACCCACAAATCACGCTGGGCCAATCCTTTAGAATCTAAAACTAAAGGTTTATTACCACAAAAAAGAAAAGCATGAGAGTGAGGTTGCTAAAGAATCATACATTACATGCACCGAATCTCCCAGTTCTCGATGCAGGCTCTAGCAGGGATGTTACAGCTGCTGGTTTAAAAGTCCTTGTTGCACATCCTAGGATCAGGATGGGTTCACAGGTCTTCCGGGCTCTTCCATCCCTGCAGTGCTGCCTCTGGGATGAAGTGCTGAGCAGAGAACCAAGATGCAGACCACCACATGCCTATTTATCCCTCCTTCCTGGTCTCTTCTTGGCTATAGCAGGTCACCTGGTCCACCTTATTCCTGTGTTGCCCGCTGGTAGCCCATAGGTATGAGTCACCCTCATTCTTTAGGTATGTCCTTGGCCCATTGAGTGCCATTGTCCCACAGGGCCTCGCTGATTAGCATGTCCATTAGCATGTCCATAGGCCGGGCTCTGCCCAATGCTCAACCACATACAGGGAAATATTCAGTATCCATACAAGTACATGCTTATAATTGCACACACAGACATTATACACACACATGAACAGCGTCCATAGGATTAGCAGACAGTGAGCTTCTATTCAACACCCCACATGGCCCCCCTTTATACCATTTTCTGGGGCCAACACCCCCACCTATGGGTGCAGCAGCGATCTGGCTGCTCCCCTCAAAATCCAGTAACGTGACAGTGCCCCCTACAAGGGACACCAGGCCAGGGCAGGCCAGTGCCCCATGGGTCTGGTCTGGGGTGAGTACACACACTGCCACACAAGGCAGAGCATATCGAGAAGCCTCGGGCCCAGCTGGCACAAAGTTGTGTAAATAGCCGCAAAGCAGAGCCCCATAGTGAGCCAAACAGGCCCTAGTGTGTGGCCTGGCTGGAGTCCCGCACTGCATCTCCTGCGCATGGCTGTTCATGGCAGCTGTCTGTCTGTGGCTCCTACCAGCTGTGCGGGGTACTGCTGGGGTCCCCGCCAAGTATGCCAGGTGGTTCCTTCTAGAAGTGGCAGGTCTGGGACCAGGCATCAGATCTGGTGTTGTGCTTCCTGCCTCGTGGTATCCTTTGTGCACTGCCGTCGTTTTCTTGCAGCACTGCTGCTGATCTCCATCGCACTCTTTGCCCGTGTCCCTCCTGCAATGGTTGCTGGAGGTACATGTTCCTATAGCTGCTCCCTGCCAGCTGGAGAGCCAATTGCAAGTGGGGTTTATGGGTCGCTATAGCCCACCAGAACTCATGGAGGGGCTCCTCCCCTCTGGGTCATGGGTGACCACTCCTCCTCATTAGATTGGACATTAGGAAAAAATTCCTAACTGTCAGGGTGGTCAAATATTGGAATAAATTGCCAAGGGAGGTGGTGGAATCTCCCTCTCTGGAGATATTTAAGAACAGGTTAGATAGACATCTGTCAGGGATGGTGTAGGTGGAGCTTGGTCCTGCCTTGAGGGCGGGGGGCTGGACTCGATGGCCTCTCGAGGTCCCTTCCAGTCCTATTATTCTATGATTCTATTCCATCCCTGCTCAGTCTGTCCTGGAGAATCAGCTATACTGGGCTCCGGCCTCGGGTCAGCCCAATCCACAGTCACTAAGTCTACAGGCTTGGGCTTCTGGTTGGGCCAAGGCAACAGTTAATTGTACTGTGCCCTCATTGTGGATGGTCATCAATAGTCCAGGGGCTCAGGTCTACGGTGGGGCCGAGCCAACAGTGGACTCAGTGGTCATTAGCCAGGCTCTGGTTCGGGGCGGGGCAGCAAACAAACAGTTCTACAATGATCCAGACGTGTTTTGTATGTTTCTTGTAACTGGTGGGGGATTTCAATCTCTGAGGCTCCAGTTAACTCAGCCTGAGGCTTTGGGAACTCGGAGTTTCTCTTGTCTGTATTTCTGTTGCAGCCACAGCACTGTGGTGTTCTAGTGTCATCATATGGCGTTCGAATCATTCGTTTTAGCTTTGTATGATGTAATATGCCTTGGTGGACCCTGCCGGCCACCTAGCACAAAAATCCATCGGTAGAGACGCATCAGATGTGTTATCGGTGTCTGTCACTGACGTTAAGGCAGGAACAGACCAGAAGAGCCCGTGGTACGCACTGTGCTCACCCTTTTGTCCTTAGAACATAAGATTTAATTATGTTTGGATTAGCTTTTTAGGGTGGAAAAATTCTGTAATAATTAGCTCCTGGTCCTAGAATGTTCTGTGCGGACTTTATGAAAGAAACGATGTAATCCTCGTTTGTGCGAGCGAGGAATGCACGCATGGGGAAAGATAAGAGCAGAGGCCATTACAGCGTCCAGATGGCAAAGGAGGGGCCGGAAACTCAGGGCCTCCAAGAGACTATCAAATGCACCCGCTGTACCTAATGAGTAACAAGGGGCAGATTGATGACCCTGAAGCACCCCCGGAGTTTTAAAATAACAAAATCGCTTAGAGACCAGAATGTGCCAACACCCAGAAAAGGTCATCAAAATGCTAATGCAGCCATGATTTTGGGATGCATGAGCAGGAGTGTTGTAAACAAGAGCCGAGACGTCGTTCTTCCGCTCTACTCTGCGCTGATTACGCCTCAGTCAGGAGTATGGTGTCGAGTTCTGGGCCCCACATTTCAGGAACGCTCTGGAGAAGATCCAGAGCAGAGCAACAAAAACAATGAAAGGTCTAGAAAACAGGAGCTAAAGGAATTGGGCTGGTTTAATTTTGAAAAGAGACAACTGAGAGGGGACATGAGAGCAGTTTTCAAGTATCTAAAAGGGTGTTTCGAAGAGGAGGAGGAGGGAAAATTGTTCTCCTTGGCCTCTGAGGACAGGACAAGAAGCAATGGGCTTAAATTGCAGCAGGTCTCTGAGGATAGGACAAGAAGCAATGGGCTTAAACTGCAACAAGGGAGGTGTAGGTTGGACATTAGGAAAAAGTTCCTAACTGTCAGGGTGGTTAAACACTGGAATAAATTGCCCAGGGAAGTTGTGGAATCCCCATCTCTGGAGATATTTAAGAACGGGTTGGATAGACATCTATCAGGGATGATCTAGACAGTGCTGGGTCCTGCCATGAGGGCAGGGGACTGGGCTCGATGACCTCTCGAGGTCCTGTCCAGTTCTAGGATTCCATGACAATGAAGGGACTCTTGAAATAACCCTTTGTTGCAAAGAAATTAATTACAATAGAGTTCAGCAAAACGTATAGACCAGCATAAGAAAACTCAGTACGGGACTTGGCCGACAGAACCTGGCTCCTCTGCTTGGGCCCAATCTACGTAGCTATTAGTGTCGTCCGGGAATTATCCCACCTTTCATACTTAACAGCATCACTTTTGTTCCTTAATAAACCCAGTGTAACTAATTTTTGTCTGGGGGGAGGAGGCAAGGAGTCTGTGCACCTCTCTTATAGTGAGACAGGGTGAATTTCATGAGGTTGTCCTGCACAGAGCTGTACACAGCCTGAGATGGATTTCTCTAGGATTCAGTGCCCAGAGAGACTGTGTACTTGAGTGCCTGGAAAATGTCTCACAGTGCATCTGTGCTGAACAGGCTGAAGAACTGGGCTCAGCAAGACGGGGTTAAAGGGTGCCCAGGCTGTCAGGGAAAGCAGGCTTAGTGGGAATCAGCACGTCAGGTGACAATTCGGAGGGGTCCCTGACCACCCACAACTAGCACTCCAAGTTTCTGGGGATTCAGATGGATTTAGTTTGTCAATATATTCAAGAGATTAGATGTATCTGAACCCAAACCTTATTGTCCTGTTAACCACACGGTAGAAGGGTTACATGCAAAGGGGCTTGTCTTCAAATTAAGCAAACTGGACTTCATTCAAAGCACAGTCACATCCTCATTGGTCCGTGTCCGTCGGCTTGCAAAGCAGTAACCAGTCACCGTGCCACCCACTGGGAACTGGATAAAAGCGGCTGGACACCCACAGACCGGCCCAAGACGGGATAACAAGGCTGTAGCGGTTGAAGCTCCTGGAAGAGAACTGGAGTTTCTACCTGTCTCCCAAAGCCGGTGACGGCAGGTGCCCAGGTGAGCTGGTGAGTCCCTCTTCCCTTCTGCCCCAGCTGATCAGTGGACTTTTATACCTGCCTTTGCCTCCTGCCAGGCGAGGCCATGGCCCCTCTGACTTAAAGCCCTTCCAGAGACACTCCCTCGATACAGCGAGGGTGCGATTCACCCCAGTGCCATTGGCAAAAGAGCCAGGCTCCGGCGGAGTCCTCAGACGAGGGTGGGAGTGGGGCTGGAAGGGTGAGCGGGCATCCGCCCCAGGGAATTCCTCTGGATGTGAGGTAGATGCCCAAGGTACGGGCTTTGCTGGGCGGCTCCCCATGTTGTCTAGGAAGGGTTGTGAATCCAGCGCTGCTGACTCTCCGGTCTTTGGCCCGGCAGAAGCCAAGGGAGAAGTTGGCCGTGTGAGCACTTCTCTCCAGCTGGGTGTTCACCGAGCGGACCCTGTCAAGGTCTGGCTGAAACCCCATTTCATCAAGCCTCGGGCAGTGCCGCTTACATCCTGCTTGGGGACAGACACCACAGCTCAACTCTTTGTGATTCCTTGGAGGTGGTCTGCCTGCCCCCCATCACCGCTGGCTTGGATCCAATGGAGCCCCACTTCATGGAGTCCCCCCGGTGTCCCTCTTGCAGTAACACGAGGCAGCGTTTCAGCACAGCGCAGGCACTAGCAGTCAGCTGGAACATGGCGCGGGGAATCCTTACGTTAGCAGAGAGAGCCAAAGGGAAAGCCTCGGAGCTTGCTGGCCAAGCCAGGGCTCCCTTGGGCCATGCTGCTGAAGGAACCATCCTGGTATCCCTTGTCTCAGTTCCAGGTGAGAGCCCTGGTTCCTACCTAGAGCATCTCATGCCCCAGCCTCCTGCTCCCTCCTGGGCTGCTCTCTGTCTGCTGAAGACCCTGCTGAGACCCACGTTCTAGCTGCGGGAGTTTCCTGCAGCCAGGTGTCAGCTGATCAGCACGTGGAACGTTCCATTGTCTTTCCAAATCGCCCATTGATCGGGGTGAGGTTCAGTCAGTGCATTCGGGACCCTCTCACGCCACCCCAGAGAGGGGGACATCCCCTCCTGTCTCCTGCTCTGCCCCAACAGCAGCTTTTTAACCCGTTGTGCCCCCTGGGTAGCAATCCCTGGTTGAGTAAGTCACTGCCGCGCATCTCCCGTGTAGAAACATTGCAGGCAATTCCTTCCTTGTCACACCATGTGGGACTGGTACTTTTATTAGAAAAAAAGAATGAAAAATGAGAGTTGTGGTGAGGCGAACCAGGCCGTAATGCAGAGTAAAATACTTGACAAATTTACGCTGCGCTGATTAGCCCTCAGCTGGAGTCTTGTGTCCAGTTCTGGGTGCCACATTTCAGCAAAGATGTGGAGAAATTGGAGAAGAGCAACAAAAATGATTGAAGGTCTAGAAAACATGACCTAGGAGGGAAAATAAGAACTGGGAAGCACTGGGTTTGTTTAGTCTGGAAAGAGAACACGGAGAGGGGACATGAGAACAGCTTTCAGGTACCTACAAATATTTTACAAGGAGGGAGAAAAATATTCTCCTTAGCCCCTGATGATAGGACAAGGAGCAAGGGGGCTACGTTTAGACTCCATCCCTCTGTCAACAGAGGGATGCCAATCAAGCACGTCGAAATTGCTAATGAAGCAGTGATTTAAATAGCCCGTGCCTCATTAGCATAAACGTGGCCACCGCTTTTTTTCGAAATGGAGTTTTTTCGAAAAAAAAAAAGGCAGTCTAGATGCAGATCTGTTGAAAAGAAAGCCTTTTTTGACAGATCCTGTAAATCGAGTTTTTTGAGGAATACAGGATCTGTCAAAAAAGGCGAAATCTACTCGCCAGGCCCACCCTGCGCATGCACCAGAACCGCATTGCACATGCGCGCGCCGCTGGTGAGCAGGGCGACTGGCTGAAATCTACTCGCCACGGGCAAGTAGATTCACGGATCTGTCGATCCCTGGTTTCCATATAGACCTCTGTCCTATTCCCCCCTTAGTCTCCTCTTTTCTAAGCTGAAAAATCCCAGTCTTTTAATCTCTGTTCATATGGGAACCATTCCAAACCCCTCATCATTTTTGTTGCCCTTATATATCTAAGGGTATGTCTACACTACCCCCCTCGTTCGAACTAGGGGGGGTAATGTAGTCATACGGAGTTGCAAATGAAGCCCGGGATTTGAATTTCCCAGGCTTCATTTGCATAAAGCCGGCCAGCGCCATTTTTAAATGCTGGCTAGTTTGGACTGCGTGCCGCGCGGCTACACGCGGCACGAACTAGCTAGTTCGGATTAGGCTTCCTATTCCGAACTAGCTGTACTCCTCGTTCCAACCTAATCCGAACTAGCTAGTTCGTGCCGCGTGTAGCCGCGCGGCACGCAGTCCAAACTAGCCAGCATTTAAAAATGGCGCTGGCCGGCTTTATGCAAATGAAGCCTGGGAAATTCAAATCCCGGGCTTCATTTGCAACTCCGTATGACTACATTACCCCCCCTAGTTCGAACGAGGGGGGTAGTGTAGACATACCCTTAGATATATAAGGGCAACAAAAATGATGAGGGGTTTGGAATGGTTCCCATATGAACAGAGATTAAAAGACTGGGATTTTTCAGCTTAGAAAAGAGGAGACTAAGGGGGGAATAGGACAGAGGTCTATATGGAAAAAGTGACTAAGGAAACTTTACTTATTCCCACAATATAAGAACCAGAAGTCACCAACTGAAATTACTAGGCGGCAGGTTTAAAACAAATTTATGATGCTACGATTGGATATTTAATCTGCTGGGTTTCCAGGGTTTGTTTGTTGCTTCATTACAAAACCTCGGAAATGTACTTGCCCTACATGACCACTGTGTGCTCTCAACTCCAACTATGGGAGCTGTATTCCTAATAGCAGGTGAATTTCCAGAGAAACTAGAAAGATTTGGCTAGAGAGTCTCAGCTTTAACTTTTCAATGCTCTTCGGTTGAGTGGTTCTGCCCAGCCCACGATTTGATGGGTGTACAAAACCTGATTGCCCCATGGGGAAGGCCCTGTGTGAAAGGATCTAGACACGCTGAGGCAGGTTCACTGGATGCGCCAAGTTATGTCCTCACGAGGCCTGTGGAAACGGGGAATGTGAGCGTGTAGTCAAGTAGATGAACCGATCAGACTGGGTTTATTGGTTAATCCTATTGGCTACTCGCGTTCCGCTGTCCCTGTTTCAGAGGCCAAAGGGGGGTGACGGGAGTCGGTGCCCATGGGGAACTGGCTTTTAAGCTGCCTCCCCAGAAGCATCAGATCCCATGGAGCTCTCTGGCCCCTCTCCCCCTTCCGCCCCTGTGCTGGTCCCTCTGGTAAACAGGGAGCAGCGTGGAGGGTGAGGGGAGCCGGTGGGAGCCAATACACGGGGGGAGCTGGCTTTTAAGCAGACTTTCCGGGCAGACCTGCTCCGCAGAGCCGTCTACACCCCCCTCTTCCCTCTGCCTCCCACAAAAGCAGAGGGGGGCAGGCAGGAGCCAGTGCTCGGGGGGAGCCAGCTCCCCACAGGTGGCGGGGGCTCCCCGGGAGTGGGGCCAGAAACACACTGCCTGCAGCCATCGAATCATCGTGGAATCACTACGTTTTGATACAGTCACACAATGATTAAATTAATCTACGTCAAACCTCCCTGGTGGAAACTCATCAGCAGACACAGTCACACACAGTGAGATGGAGCAGTGGGCAGAGGAGGGGGATAGATTGTCAGGCACCCTGGTTCCAGCCACAGGTTTGCCCCACACCTGCTTCAGGATCTTAGACAACTGGCTGCTCCCTGTGTCTCAGTTTCCTTCTTGGAAAAATCAGGCCCAGCCGTGGGTGGGAGGTGCCACCTGAACCGCGCCATGACCGTAGCTGATTTTGATCTCCTGTGTTGGCAGTGCGAGGATGGCGCTTCTCTGGTGCCTGTGGATGGTGATTGGGATCCTCGCAGAGCCTGGGGTCTCTCAGGACTGCACCCCAACGCCAGGGGGTAAGGAGCTGGCACAGTGACGTGCCCTGTTACGTTACACCCCAGTCCCTGCTGGGCCAACTTCTTTTTTAATTTTTTTTGGCAGGCTACTCCAAGATATTGGAAAGTGGTTAAGGGCTGCACTTCTGCACGGAGGCGGTGCAGGGTTTGGGACAGAGGCTGGGTGCAGAAGGGACAGGGACTGGGGTACAGGAGAGGGTATGGGGTCTCAGAGGGAGTTGAGGTGAAGTAGGGGGTTGTGACCTTGGGCAGGGGATTGGGGTGCTGGGTCCAGGAGGGAGTAGGGGTGCAGGAGTGAGTTTTGACTGGGGGGTGTAGCAAGGGGTGCAGGGTCTGGGAGGGCACTGTGATTGGGGGCGGTGTGCAGAGGAGTCGGGTGGTGACTTAGGGAAGAGGGAGGGTGATGACCTGGGGCAGGAGTTAGGAAGTGGGAGGGGCTGAGGTGCCGGAGGCAGGCTCTGGCTGGGAGTCACTTACCTCAGACGGCTCCTGGCCAGCAGCCCAACAGGGTCCCTGAGGGAGGCTCCGTCCTGCCGGAGCCCCAGGCACAGGGGTTCCCTCCATGCGCTGCTTAGGGCCGTGCGTCCCTGGGGGGCAAGGGACTTCGCATGTGCTCCCCCACCCCCAGGCCAATGTGTCGCGGTGCCGGAGGCAGGCTCTGGCTGGGAGTCACTTACCTCAGACGGCTCCTGGCCAGCAGCCCAACAGGGTCCCTGAGGGAGGCTCCGTCCTGCCGGAGCCCCAGGCACAGGGGTTCCCTCCATGCGCTGCTTAGGGCCGTGCGTCCCTGGGGGGCAAGGGACTTCGCATGTGCTCCCCCACCCCCAGGCCAATGTGTCGCACGCCACTAGGAGGCGGGGGAGATTTTGCACGTTCCCCTGCCCCAGGCCAATCCACTCGCTGGGGGCAGGGGCGTGTGTGCGCATCGTGCACAGGGAACCGCCAGCCATTTTGAACCCCTGGCAGCTCCGTCTATGCGCTGCACAGTGGAGGGAGGGGCGGAGGCTTTTGTTCCGCTACCCCGTCCCCAAGCCAATTGGTACCCGGGTGCAGGGGAGCGCGTGTAGCCTCTTGCCCCCACCGCTGCTGCCAAGGCAGGCCATGGGCTGGATCAAATGGCTTGGTGGGACAGATCCAGCCTAATGAGACAGCAGAAACCCAGGGAGACTCTTCCCTTCCCACGGGTCATGGGGGCAAGGGCTGCAGCTGGCAGGGGCAGTTGGGGGAGTCTGCCTGTAAATATCCAGCCACATCCCTGCCATGGGGAGCAGCACCAGCGGGGTGCAGGAGGTGGTGGCTGAGAGAGGCTCTCTCTGGGCTGAGTCCCCAGCACCACCCTGCTGTCACTCCTAGCCCCATGGGCCCGGCTCCCACTGTGAGCCTGGCTCTCACGCAGCACCTGGTGTGTGGTCACTGGGAAGTGGCTCTGTCATGTGGTACAAGGAGCCCCCCGTCCTCTCACCCTCTGATTCCAGCTCAGAACTTGGCGTTCAGACGTCCGGCCACGCAGTCGTCGACGTTCGAGGACAACACTGGGCAAGCCGAGCCTGCAAGGGCCGTGGATGGAAAACGTGTCGGGTATTATGAACAAGGCTCCTGCAGCCACACCAGGTTCGACAGAGAGCCGTGGTGGACCGTGGACTTGGGCAGCCGGTATTATGTCTCCATGGTGATCGTGAAGAACAGGGAAGAGGAGTGTTGTGGGAGGAGACTGAAGGGGGCCCGGATCCACCTGGGAGACTCCCTGGATGACAACGGCAAGAACAACCCCATGTGAGTTTCTTCTCCATTGTCTGCTGTGGGTTGAGTCCTCCCAGCTGAGGCACGGGGGTCGGGTCTCATTGGCAGCCAGGCCCAGCACAGGGCCTGATCCCTCTAAGCTGCCTGAGGCGGAGAGTGCTTTGCAGGTGGGGCAGAGGCCTAGCCACAGCTGGGCCAGGGTGGGTGCAGCCCCACCCACTTGGCTTCCCAGCCCAGGCAACTCTCAGCTGTAGGGTAAACAGAGTGGCACTGTCTTTCCCGAGTTGCTGGAGGTGCAGGACTCCCGTTCTGTCCCAGGGCTCATCCCCTCTTTGCCCCACCTCCACGGCCACTTTCCATTCCTGGCTCCCTGCTTCCTGCCCAGTTTTGCTCCTTTCCCTAGTTGTGCCCTTCCCCCCACCTCTTTCTGCCCCGGCTGCTCCTCATAGGGAGCAGGTGACTGTCTATAGGGGGAGGCTAGTCCTTGGTTCTGCCACTTCTGCCCCAGGATCTAGTCCTCCTCTTCCATTCCCTCCTCCTCTGGGGGCTCATCTAGACTACGCTAGAGTGTCGAAAGAGGATGTGCAAATTCCATGCATATCCTCTTTCGACACTAGCGTAGTCTGGATGAGCCCTGGAGGCTGGCACATCCCCACTGCGTCTGCTGGCCCCAGCGGCCTGAGTGCCCCCACCGGAGAGCCCTGGACAGGCATCATCTCCAGCCTCGCCAAGTCCCATATGGCAGGTCTCATCTAGACTACGCTAGAGTGTCGAAAGAGGATGTGCAAATTCCATGCATATCCTCTTTCGACACTAGCGTAGTCTGGATGAGCCCTGGAGGCTGGCACATCCCCACTGCGTCTGCTGGCCCCAGCGGCCTGAGTGCCCCCACCGGAGAGCCCTGGACAGGCATCATCTCCAGCCTCGCCAAGTCCCATATGGCAGGTCGACTGGTGGCACCAGCCCCAGCCTGAGCCATGAAGGGTGGGAAGGGTTGGGAGCTCAGGCCCTCCTGGGGACATTGCACGGACAGGGCAACGCCAGCCTGACTAGGGAAGCTCAGAGCCCCCCCCCCCCAATAATACAACCCCTCACCCCCCTACTTCCG